GAGAGAGAGAGAGAGAGAGAGAACCTCATTGAAGGATGCCATGGCCTCAACCACATCCTTTGTAAATGTTCTTCCAACACCTGATGTTCCTATTAATACTGTTGGCTTGATTGCCTGAGAAATCAGGGAATAATAAATGATCCACAAGAATTCTGTTAATAACACTGAAGCTCAATCATAGACACGAGTCTCAGACCTTGACAGCATCTAAAAGTTCCTTAACAGGCTCATGCTCGTGAGCCCAGGGCTTCTTAAAGTGTTGAAGAGAGTCCTTACGAGAACTAACAATCAATCCCTGTAAAAGAGCTACCCAAATTGTTAATGCTGGAAGAAGAGATATTGGAAACAATATAGATACATGCAACATGAGGTTAACATTCTCCATCAACAGGATTTTAGAGATCATGTTCCTAGTACCTTTGAATCCACAAGCCAAATCTTCTTGCGGATCTCTTCTAGTGGTGCATTTGTCTGCTAATATAATAGTCACTTGGTTATTATCAGAAGCACAGATGAATAATGAAAGAAATCAGGTACTACAAGAAGTTTGTACCTTTTTTGATATCTCAAGAGCTATAAGCTCTGCTATACCAGTTCCAGCCTTCAAATGACAAGACAAAAAGTGAGACACGAAAAAGCAGTCCATAAATACGTACATCAATGGAAAACTCGCAAGTGTTTTCTAAATAAGATGCATATAACAAAGGACCAATAAGATAATCCACAGGCAGACAACTTTCAGTAAATAATGTATGCTTTGGGGAGAAAATATCAGCATGAATAAAAAAATGTTCATTACCGAGTTTGGTCCCTATTATTCAAGGGTGATGAAAAGAATGAACAGGGAGCAAACCTAACTTTCGGAGTAATTTGCACAAAGTCAAAGCCCTTAAATTTGAACACACAACTTCCTAGTTGTTAGCCCAACACTTCTACTACTACACCAGGCCAGTGGCTTCTAAAGGGCATGATTACATACTAGACACAATGTGTAATTTAGTAAACTATGTAGAAAACTGAAGGCTGTGTTATTTAGTATTTCAACTTTAGTACTTTGCATGATGAAATATCAAAAGAAAGCTTCTGAGAAAAAGAGCAACTGAGGCTCACCTCCCCAGCACCTAGGAATAGGAATGTATGGTCAGCCAAGGTTCCGCCAACTAATTTCAGAGCGGCAACAAGCCCTGCTAGAACCACAGATGCTGTTCCCTGTGACATGAGAAACAACTCACATATGATGAAATTTCCTTGAAATGAAAACGAAACTTAAGGTCAAACAAGCTGTTTCCACAAAGTTACCTGTATGTCATCATTAAACACAAGATGTGTTGTGCGATATTTCGCCAGCAGCTCAAAGGCATTGTGGTTTGCAAAATCCTCAAACTGAAAAATACGGTACATTATTAAGGAGCAGTGGAACGAAGAGTACACACTCAAAATGCAAGAAACCAACATCTCTGAGGAGGTTTGGAATCAATGACAGACCTGCACAAGGACTTTCTCTCCGTAGTTCTGCTTAACTGCACACATGAACTCCTCTAGAAGCTCCGTATATTCCTGAATTGCACAAGTCAAAACCACCTCAAACTAACAGAAAACTCATTTCACAACTATTAACGACCATAATCTTGCCTGCAAAAGTCAAAGCATTTGCAAGAAAAGGAAAGCACTAGACCTGCCCAGTCGCCCTCTTTTGCCTGAGCCCAATGTAGAACTCATCATTCAACAACTTCTCATTGTTTGTGCCAACATCAATGGTTACAGGCAAGCACTGTAAATGACAGATCACGTAGTTAATTTCTGCAACCCAAATGGTTAAAAAGTTCTATTGAATCATCGAGTAGTAGCAATCTATCTACGTCCAAGGGTGCCTAATAAAACTGAAAAGTTACTCAGTTGGGTTGTCATGACCTAGAAAACTTGGGGTCAACTTATCAAATACATACATTCATAATTTGAAATCTGACATCATAATTAAGTTTGTAGGAAAGTTGGAATTACATGGTTTCAATGAATAAATAAGGGAAAATACAGAGCAGATTTTGAACTTTTCTTGGTAACTGATTCAGTTGATGAGGTTGAAACTGATTTACTAAACAAATCGTGAGAATGAGATCAATTACAAAAGAAAAAGAAGAAGGGAAATGCTAAGAAGATTATCCATCCAAAAGGGCAAAGGTAATTTTTCTTACCACTGAAGGACGAACTCCGCCAAGTGCAGTATACAGAGAGAGTTTTCCAACAGGAATCCCCATTCCCTGCAACATTTCAATAATGTTTGATCAATCGGGTCAACTATCCAATACACAACACACACAGAGGGAGAGAGCACCCGTAGCGAAAGAGGGGAGAGAGAACAGAGAACAACTCTGTCTTTCAATTAATTACTTGAATATTATTGCTTATCGCTGGATGTTAAAGTGAATAGAACCAAGCAGATTTACCTGGCAGCCAAGATCTCCAAGCCCTAATATACGCTCACCATCAGTTACAACAATAACTTGAATACTCTTCTCAGGCCAATTTTTCAGCACTTCAAGAATCTTCCCCCTGAAAAATTGGGCAACTTGAATAATCTTATTAGCTACCCAATCTAGCTTAAACTGATATGCAAAACATACTAAATCCCATACCCCCACCCCATCCTCCACTCCCAACCAAAATGAGCAAACATTGAATCCAACAAACTAAGAGGCTATAAAGCAGATTACAAATTGGTGGTCATACTTCTCTTTCAAGCTAATGTAAAGGCCCTGCGGACGGCGAAAAATGCTCCCATATTTCTGGCAAGCCTCTCCAACTGTTGGAGTATACACAACTGGAAGCAGTTCCTCAACATTATCAATGAGAAGCTTGTAAAATAGCCTCTCATTCCTCTCCTGAAGAATTTGACCCAAAAAAAATAAAAATTAGTCCCTAAAACATTAAAGCCTCAAACTGTCTGTTAGCATAACTTGTTAGGCTGTAAACGATTTTTGATCCATAATCAAATTAAATCCAATGCACAAAGAGAACATTTTGTGAATGTTTCATACTATTGCTATCATNTCATAATGGATTTTTGATCCATAATCAAATTAAATCCAATGCACAAAGAGAACATTTTGTGAATGTTTCATACTATTGCTATCATGCTAATAACAGCTATTGAATCAATCAGAGATTCACCACTGTCTCATAACATGTTTATCTAGTGCCATCTTATGCAAACATGTCTGAATCCTCAAAGGTTTGATAGAGTACATAGCTAATATACTAGAGCACTCCCATAATATAATCCACACTTGGATGGAATTCGTGCACCTACATATGTAAATTCCAAAATTAAATTGGTTATCACACACGTTGCCTGATAATGATTGCCAATAATAGTCAATCACATCACACCATGGAGAACCACCGGCCTAATTTTAGAGAAAAAGAGATTTATTGAATCACCAGAAGAATCTTTCTTACTAGTAAATGAAAAGAATATCATTTGTATATGGCTTGACATGGAGAAAGAAATTTTGAAAAGCATCTGTTCAACCTTCATCTATCTCGTACACTGATTAATTTGGAGGTGGAAAAGTACCTGAAGATCCATCATGGCCATGTATCTTTGCAGCGGAACTTTATATTGGCGGAGATTATGCATCAGCTTTCTCTCCTATGTACGAAAATCATTAATGATGATAACAAACTGGTCTGATCTGGGTCAAATAAATACTATGAACTCAAAGGAAAGATCTATCAGGTAACCTGAAGTTCTTGGGAGAGGACAACTGGGGGCAGAAGCCCGCGCAAGTAAAGAGCATCTCTCTCTTTCTCGGTGAAGGCAAGCCCTTTGTTGTGGTGAGGGTCACGCAACAAGCTATACCCACTGCAATGTGAAGAAAGAATATTATAAATCAGCTGTCCAATAAACAATAAAACAAGTTCTATGACTTCAGGAGGTAGCTCGTTACCCAGAACATCAGTCAAGCAAGCAACTGGCCAATAATAATTTCAAAAACGCCAAAAATGATCAGTTTTTGACCACAGAGTGAAATTATGCAGCACATTTACTACCCTAAAACTTTTTGATTTTCTTGAGCTGAAGTCATATGTGCTTTTCTTCATCTTAAATTACGTAACCATCATCTAAAAGACAACACTTGGAAAAAAAATATAAGCAAAATTTCCATGAGAAGGTATAAATTATATTGGGCAGAAGCGGATGGCCTGCAGTTACAAATCTACCCGTAGCATACACTGGATCATAGGTTTTACTTTACAATCATGAAATTTGAGATCTAGGAAGAATAAGGTACGGCATTTTGTGTTTACTTTCATGAGGTTTAAGACCACAATTTTGCGAAATTTAAGAAGGGAATCCTCACTACTAATAACGATTACAAAAAAATGTACAAAAATCAAGATACATACTGTGTTGAGAGATACTCAAAAAACTGTTCCACAATTCACATAGAATTGTAGTGTTTGTTTTTCAGATTATATAGATTTGTATACATATGTGATAAATGAAGCAAATGCATTTAAGGTATCAATCTTCTTGCAGCGGAAGCAGTGTAGTGTCACAAGTTTATAGAAGCATTGCACATATGTGCAGGTCTGAAAACAAACGAAATCAAGAATACAGTTGAGTATCTAATAGTATCTGTTTGTATCCTGTTTTTGTGTGTTCATGTAACCACAAATTCAAACGAGAAAAGGGGCCTAGAAAAATTTTATTTCTCACGTAAACCTGATAAAAAACCGGCAAACAATATTGTAGAAAATTTTAAAGCCCATTCCATCATTTATATTTGCGTAACTGATATAGTATTCATAAAAGCATAAAATTTTGAAAATTTTNTCAAGAATACAGTTGAGTATCTAATAGTATCTGTTTGTATCCTGTTTTTGTATGTTCATGTAACCACAAATTCACACTAGAAAAGGGGCCTAGAAAAATTTTATTTCTCACGTAAACCTGATAAAAAACCGGCAAACAATATTGTAGAAAATTTTAAAGCCCATTCCATCATTTATATTTGCGTAACTGATATAGTATTCATAAAAGCATAAAATTTTGAAAATTTTAAAAAAAAATAGTGGAATAAGATTAAAAAAAAAATGGAACCAGTTTATAGACTAGCACATCATCAAGAATATATCAGACTTTGCGAAATCAACACAGACCACATTAGTAATATGTAATTACTCAAAATNTAAAAAAAAATAGTGGAATAAGATTAAAAAAAAAAAGGAACCAGTTTATAGACTAGCACATCATCAAGAATTTATCAGACTTTGCGAAATCAACACAGACCACATTAGTAATATGTAATTACTCAAAATAATGTAATTTAGATGTAATGATAAGGCTTCGAAAAGACAAACCATGTTGATAAGACACATCAATCTCCTCAAACACATCATACAACAATTTGATGAATATATCAATACAATTTAACTGAGATAAAAAACCACAACCCTCCCTTATCAACATGGTGCAAAATAAATCCTAAAATCCCATAATGAAGCTTTTAAATCATATGTATCACTTAAGAACAGAGTCCCTCCAGAAAACAACACAGTTATATAAAAGCATGTCAACTATCGAATCATCATAAAAAAAAATAATAATAAAGCCAACATAAATTCACATCAATATGCCCCAAAATGAGGACAAACATAACAAGATTAGGCATTAAATCATATCATACCTAGCAACAGAGACGGTCCAANCTAAGAACAGAGTCCCTCCAGAAAACAACACAGTTATATAAAAGCATGTCAACTATCGAATCATCATAAAAAAAAAAAATAAATAAAGCCAACATAAATTCACATCAATATGCCCCAAAATGAGGACAAACATAACAAGATTAGGCATTAAATCATATCATACCTAGCAACAGAGACGGTCCAAGGGGTGACAGCCTGATCCTCAGTGACTCTATCCTCACCGTACATGTCCTCAACACCACCACCGACACCAGATTTATCATCCATATCAAGCACTGAATCACCATTGGTCATCTCCTTCAATGTGCTTTCCATCACAACACCTATTTTTCTCTCCCCTCGACCCAACTTTAAAACACCCAAAGCTTGTTTCTGCCAATGAGAGTAGCTGAAAAAACAAACCCAGAAAACAAAAAACACACAAAACACAAAACAGTTGTTGCGTTTGCTATGAAAAACACCAACACCCACCTTTTATAACCCACAAATAAGCAATTAAATGCAATTCCTTTATTCCAATGTTTGACAAAAAATTACCCTTATTCAATGCCTAAAAGCAAAACTGCAATGACCCATCTAGAATGAATTAGAAAGTAAACTTTTGTGTGTACTTGTGCATATATGTGTGTGAACGATGGGAATAAAGTAAGTGGATTTGTGTCTGAAGGANTAAAAGCAAAACTGCAATGACCCATCTAGAATGAATTAGAAAGTAAACTTTTGTGTGTACCTGTGCATATATGTGTGTGAACGATGGGAATAAAGTAAGTGGATTTGTGTCTGAAGGAACTGTAAAATAATAGTACCAGAAAATTGGGTCTGTTGAACGAGATCATCGTGAAAGGAACTTGTGGAGAAAGCGATTTATAATGCGTCCGCGTTACCGCGTATGTAGAGAGAGAAAGTAGGAGATTTCCTCGTTTTGGTGGAAGTGAGAGAAAGACTAAAGAAATGGCAGTTGAATGTTACCACATGAAGCTGTTGAAGGTTTCTTCCAAATTCTTTTATTTCTCTCTATTACCCATGTGTGTGATAGTGCGCGTGCAGCGTGTGCTTCTCTTTTTTCTCTCATTTATTTTTTTTTTTTGAATAAAAATTATAATTGATCCTTGAATTTATCTTCGGTTGTCAATTGTATCTATTAATTATCAATTTTGTCTTAATTAAGTTATTTTGTCAATTTTTATTGTCATATCAATTGGGACTAGCTCAATTTGATCTATTTCATTGATCTAACATNAGTTGGGTAACCCGAATTTAACCCGAGCTCTACCCAAAAAAATACGGGCTTAGGTTAGAGTTTTTAAAACTTGGGTTGGACTTGGGTTGAAAAATGTTAACCCGAATTCAATTTGGGCGGGCTCGGGTTGACTCATCGGGTTATCAGGTTGAACCCGAATATTAAAATCGGGTCCAACCCGAGTTAATAATCGGGTTTAACCCGAATATTAAAAACCCTATATATACATTTTCCAATTTTAGGGTTAATTTGTGATTCTGTTCAGCCTCCCTCACTCGATNTTATTTTGTCAATTTTTATTGTCATATCAATTGGGACTAGCTCAATTTGATCTATTTCATTGATCTAACATTAGTGAAAATAGACAAAATAATTTAATTGAAATTAAATTAATAATTAAAGAATTAAATTAAAATAATTAAAATTTTAAAAATTGACGGAGCATTATTTACCAAGTGAGTCCACCAGCACCACACCCAGTGAAAAAATTGACATATATCACCACAAGTATAACCAATTATAATGAGTATTTTGAGAAGCTTGTCTATGCATATCTTCTAAAGGGTCATCATGGATGGATTGCTAAGCAACTCTTTACTGATTATTGATAAATATGGGTGAAGTCCGAAGAAGAGGAGGCCTCACACATAGGGGTGTAATTTGAGTTGGGTAACCCGAATTTAACCCGAGCTCTACCCAAAAAAATACGGGCTTAGGTTAGAGTTTTTAAAACTTGGGTTGGACTTGGGTTGAAAAATGTTAACCCGAATTCAATTTGGGCGGGCTCGGGTTGACTCATCGGGTTATCAGGTTGAACCCGAATATTAAAATCGGGTCCAACCCGAGTTAATAATCGGGTTTAACCCGAATATTAAAAACCCTATATATACATTTTCCAATTTTAGGGTTAATTTGTGATTCTGTTCAGCCTCCCTCACTCGATCTCAGTCCGCCTCCCTCAGCTTCACTCGATCTCAGTCCGCCTCCCTCACTCGATCTCAGTCCGCCTCCCTCAGTCCCATTCTCAGATCTCCTCTCAGCCAGTTTTTCGCCTCCCTCAGTCCCACTCTCAGATCCCTTTCTCAGCTAGTCTCAGCCAGCCTCCTCTCTCTCTCAGACATTGTCAGCTCAATCGATTCTCCCTTCATCTCAATCGAAAAAAATCAAATCTACACTTGAAAAGAGATCTCATCTCAGGGCAGATCTATCGTCTACCGTCATCTCAGATCAGNGGTTGGATAACCTGAATTTAACCCGAGCTCAACCCAAAAAAATACGGGCTTAGGTTAGAGTTTTTAAAATTTGGGTTGAAAAATGTTAACCCGAATTCAATTTGGGCGGACCTCGGGTTGACCCATCGGGTTATCAGGTTGAACCCGAATATTAAAATCGGGTCCAACCTGAGTTAATAATCTGGTTTAACCCGAATATTAAAAACCCTATAAATACATTTTCCAATTTTAGGGTTAATTTGTGATTCTGTTCAGCCTCCCTCACTCGATCTCAGTCCCACTCTCAGATCCCCTCTCAGCCAGTTTTTCGCCTCCCTCAGTCCCACTCTCAGATCCCTTTCTCAACTAGTCTCAGCCAGCCTCCTCTCTCTCTCAGACATTGTCAGCTCAATCGATTCTCCCTTCATCTCAATCGACTCTCCCTTCATCTCAATCGAAAAAAATTAAATCTACACTTGAAAAGAGATCTCATCTCAGGGCAGATCTATCGTCTACCGTTATCTCAGGGCAGATCTATCGTCTACCGTTATCTCAGGGCAGATCTATCGTCTACCGTCATCTCAGATCAGATCAGGTATGGTCGATATTTAGACTTCTTTTCACTTTCGATATTTTGTTCAGAGCTAATAAAACTAATCATGCTCGATAATAGAAAAAACTCTCAGTCTCAAATGCAATTTTTTCAAATTTTATTCAGAGCTAATCAATGTTCATTTTTCCGTTTTATCATTTTTCTAGTTCATTTTTCCATTTGATCATTTTGCTAATTGATCATTTTTCTGTTTCATTATGCTAGTTCAAATATTGAAAAGGTACATGTCACTAATGGGGGAGNCACTCTCAGATCCCCTCTCAGCCAGTTTTTCGCCTCCCTCAGTCCCACTCTCAGATCCCTTTCTCAACTAGTCTCAGCCAGCCTCCTCTCTCTCTCAGACATTGTCAGCTCAATCGATTCTCCCTTCATCTCAATCGACTCTCCCTTCATCTCAATCGAAAAAAATTAAATCTACACTTGAAAAGAGATCTCATCTCAGGGCAGATCTATCGTCTACCGTTATCTCAGGGCAGATCTATCGTCTACCGTTATCTCAGGGCAGATCTATCGTCTACCGTCATCTCAGATCAGATCAGGTATGGTCGATATTTAGACTTCTTTTCACTTTCGATATTTTGTTCAGAGCTAATAAAACTAATCATGCTCGATAATAGAAAAAACTCTCAGTCTCAAATGCAATTTTTTCAGATTTTATTCAGAGCTAATCAATATTCATTTTTCCGTTTTATCATTTTTCTAGTTCATTTTTCCATTTGATCATTTTGTTAATTGATCATTTTTCTGTTCCATTATGCTAGTTCAAATATTGAAAAGGTACATGTCACTAATGGGGGAGACAGAGACAAATACTGAATCTATGGCTAATCCTGCATCTGAGCCTGCTACTGGTAACCCTGATGAGGGGAACTCTGTAAGTCCCACCAAACGCAGAAAAACTTATGTTGAAAAATCTGATGTTTGGCTTGATTTCACAAAAATTAAAAAAGAAGATGGGTCAAAACCTGATGAAGTGCAATGCAACCATTGCAAAAAGAAGTTTCATTATGCTAGTTCACAAGGAACTAGTACAATTCGGCGACACTTATTCAAGTGTTCGAAATGTGAAAAGAATAAAGATGCTACTCAAAAATTGATTAAATTTTCATCTGCTAGTGGTCCTTCTAGTAATATTAGTAATTGAAAATTTGAACAAGAATCTGTCCAGAAAGAAATTGCTCAAATGATAATTACTGATGAAATGCCTTTTAGTGTTGTGGAGAAAGAAGGTTTTAAAAAGGGTTCTTAATGCATTGCAACCAAGGTTTAATTTGGTGTCAAGAACTACGATCACCAAAGATTGNGATTTTATTCAGAGCTAATCAATATTCATTTTTCCGTTTTATCATTTTTCTAGTTCATTTTTCCATTTGATCATTTTGTTAATTGATCATTTTTCTGTTCCATTATGCTAGTTCAAATATTGAAAAGGTACATGTCACTAATGGGGGAGACAGAGACAAATACTGAATCTATGGCTAATCCTGCATCTGAGCCTGCTACTGGTAACCCTGATGAGGGGAACTCTGTAAGTCCCACCAAACGCCGAAAAACTTATGTTGAAAAATCTGATGTTTGGCTTGATTTCACAAAAATTAAAAAAGAAGATGGGTCAAAACCTGATGAAGTGCAATGCAACCATTGCAAAAAGAAGTTTCATTATGCTAGTTCACAAGGAACTAGTACAATTCGGCGACACTTATTCAAGTGTTCGAAATGTGAAAAGAATAAAGATGCTACTCAAAAATTGATTAACTTTTCATCTGCTAGTGGTCCTTCTAGTAATATTTGTAATTGGAAATTTGAACAAGAATCTGTCCGGAAAGAAATTGCTCGAATGATAATTACTGATGAAATGCCTTTTAGTGTTGTGGAGAAAGAAGGTTTTAAAAGGGTTCTTAATGCATTGCAACCAAGGTTTAATTTGGTGTCAAGAACTACGATCACCAAAGATTGCATCAATATTTATGAAACTGAAAGGAAAAAATTGAGATTTATCTTTGAATCCTCTGCATCACGTGTTTGTCTCACTACTGATTTATGGACTTCCATTCAAAACCTGGGGTATATTTGTCTCACCGCGCATTACATTGACAAAGAATGGATTTTACAAAAGAGAATCATCAACTTCCGTGTGCTTCCAACCCCACATCGTGGTGAAATTATTGCACAATCTGTGGAGACTTGTTTATTGGGATGGGGGATTGATAAAGTGAATACATTGACTGTAGATAATGCAAGTTCTAATGATGTCGCAGCCACATCTTTGAAAAAGAGGTTGGCCAAACGCAATGGGTTGTTGTTAGATGGTAGTCTGCTTCATGTTAGGTGTTTTGGGCATGTTTTGAATTTAATTGTGAAGGATGGAATTGATGAAGTTAATAGTGCTATTGTTCGCATTCGTGATGGTGTGAAATATGTTAGGAGTTCCCCTTCCCGCTATCAACTGTTTAGGAAATGTGTGGATATTGAGAAGATTTCATACAAGAAATCTTTGTGTTTGGATGTCCCAACACGGTGGAACTCTACTTTTTATATGCTTGACACCGCTCTTGAGTACCAAAAAGCTTTTGACCGGTTGGAAGAGCAAGATAGAAGTTTCACACTTGAACTTAAGAATGGGACTCCTACTGATGATGATTGGTTGGCAGCAAAGAACTTGCATAAATTTTTGGAACAATTTTATCTTGTTACAAAGCGTGTGTCTGGGTCACAATATGTCACTGCTAACATTTATTTTCATGAAATGATGAGGATCCATGTATTATTACATAAATCTTTGAGTAGTGACAATGTATTCTTT